TGAGTGTGGCACTTGAAAATGAGGATTTGATCTTTGATGAACTATTAAATGAAGTTATTTGTATTTGATATTGTACATGGAAAATTTGTATGTAGTTTATAAATATTTTAACCTTAAATTGACTGGTATTTTTGCATTCAAATGAGAGATATTATATCTTCAAAACATAGTGTGAGTAATTGAAAAAAAAATATTATAAATAAGTTCACATGATAAATTTGAAAACGCATGATAAATTTGAAAATTGGTGATGATTCAGGTGAATATAATGATTGCAATGCATAAAACATTTTTGTAATAGTTTTTTAGCTCAGCAACCGGTAAGGTTCTAAATGGCGTTAGTCAAACGGTGGGCAGGGGCCCAACATCTAAGTAGGGACTTAGGCAATTTTTTCAATTTCAATTAAATTTATTTTATAACATATAAATAATGTCTACTAATACTTTTAAAAATTAGGTAATTGTATTGGAATACATGCTTCTTGATTAACTTCCGATGTTGCACTGCATTATGCTGAGTTAAGCCGTCCCGAAAATAAGTACGTACTGGGTGTAGTGCACTTTACTGGGGTTCCTTAGTGGGCTCTCACCCTATATACCTCGTATCCTGAAGACTAGATGATGGTTATTGGCTAAGGTTCACATCTATGGTCAAACAATGGGTCCGATTTGACTTTTTTTAGGCCTAAAAATGTCACATGCAAACCCAATCAAGTCTCAAGGCCCAATTGTTGTACAAGCCTCAAGCCGAGCCCCAATACATGCAAAGGTGCGGAATCGAGAAGGAGTTATGTTCGTAATCAAGCCATGCTACGTTAATTAAGCCACACATTTGTGTAAATCATACCACACTCGTGCAAACTCATGCATATTTATCACGTCAAGCTTTATCATGCTAAGATAAGCCCAAGTCACATACCCAGGGTTTGTCAAGTGAATTGTGGTGTGGATGGTTATGGAAGTTCATTGAGCCTACGTGGAGTCAAGATTATGGAAGACTTTGGGTTGCTTGTGAGCCTAAAAGTCCAAGCCAATAACCCTTGAATTCCATGTGGGTAAGTTTGAGAGAGAGCAAGCCTAGTTTCTTCCTTTCCCTAGCAAGCTAACCAATTTAGTTAGGAAGGAACCAAACCTTGAGCCTTAGAGTCACGTGAATGTCCAGCAAGACATGCATTTGATGAAGAGCAGACATTCCCTTCCTATCTTACGTAGAAGACCAACACATGAAAGCCAAGAGACACATTACCAAAAGTAATGCCTGTAGAAAACTAACCCGGGAAAGCAACGCCTCTGGAAGGAGTCAAAATGGAGTCTTCATGTGAGCGGCTACGTTTAGCTGTCTTACACCAAAAGGAAATGTTACTGTTAGGTCAGGAGAAAGGGGAGAGAAGACCAAGCCACAAATAGAGATTCCTTAGGAACCCTAGAAAGGAATCATTAACCTATAAAAGAGGTATCAGAAGACATTAGAAGCGGGGGAACATCATAACGCATGAGAGAGTTCAAACATTAGAGAGAGAAACACAAAACCACCTTTTTGCAACCTTAGAGTTTTCTTCCAAACTTCCTTCAACTCTTTCAGTCAAGGAAAGCCTCTTTATAACCTAGAAAGCCCAAATTATCAAACTAGACCACCATACAACCATGCCAACTCTTTCGCTCTTTCATGCCAAACTGATGAACTTCTAGCTTCCACACTATGTCTCACTTAAGCAAGCCATTATTTTCTTAATCATGCTATCTTTGAGTCATTGATCTAACCTGAATATTTCCTAAAACGAGCTAACTATTTCGAGATATTCCGGGACTTGGTACGAAACCGAACCAAGGGAGACAAGAGGATGTTCTCAAAACCCAAGTCCCCCTTGACCTAAAAGTCCCCCAACAACCTTCTTTTCCTTCCTAAAGTTCTGGGCCAGATATTTTAAAACATGGGCTTTTAACGGATAAATTGCAAAATAAAATGACATATAGATTATAAAGTATTAGAATGTATTGAAATCATGGGGAACAAGTGTTGAACAAGTCTCTTACAATTTATTAAAAAAATAAAATGTAAAATGGAAATTATTTATTTTTTGTCTAGGTGAAAGTCGTGACCTTAGTTTGAACTGGGTCGTGAAAGCCATTGATTGAAACCTCAATCTCGACTAAGATCTCGATGATAACATTGTCTCCTTCGACATCTTCGTCCCTCTCAACCCTCCCGCCGTCAACATCATCATCTTGGATCTCGAGGAGGAGGATTTCGAGGCCGCTACTGCCATCGCAGATTCTTCTCATTTTGATGGCGTTAAGGCTGTCTAATCGTTTTCCTGGACGTTCTATTTTTAGTTGAACTTACATGATATTTGAAGAATTCAAAGAATCCGAATGGAAGAAATCCGGAGAGGATCATGTTCCTATAATTATATACACATGAATACCTAATAAACATGCCCTAACCGTAGTCTACCTAATTGGGCAACCGGTTATAACTTATGTTGATGTCACTCATGTCACGTATTAAAGTAAAATTATCAAAAATAGAAAAATAAATAAACCATGCTGTCTTGTTCGATTTTTCTTATGATTGTCATAGACTCATATATGATTATTCCACAACTTGCATTACATGGCAACAAAAAGTCTTCCACATGGAGGACCCCTCAAAATGCACAAGACACAAGACTCCAGAAATCATACACTATTCAGCCGACGTACCAAACGATGGTTGCTGAAAATAAGAGAGTCACATTTTCTCCTCGGAAAAATAGCACCTACGTAGCTAATCAGCATATCAATGGCTTCTTCAAGTTTACAAAAGTGAAATAGCAATGGAGGATGTTGGCTGGAGTTCAAGACAAGATGATCCAATGGCGAGGGTGCTCATGAGCACGCTGCAGGAGACACCGAGGCAGGCGACACACGCATGGATCCTATACTATACAGGTATGCAACGATGTCTAAATCAGGAGTAACTTTACAGTGTATCTGCCGTTGTCAAGAGTTTATATGGGCCCTGCGCACAACTTGTTTTGCCGGAGCCACATGTGCAATACCTATATGTAATATTCCTGATCAAATAGTATCGCTGGTCCTAAGTAGTGAAAACAAAGTAAGCACCCGTGGGAACACGGTGCTTCACCTTGCTGCAAATACAGGCCACATGCAGCTTATCCAACTAATTACCCTAAATTTTCCGCGGCATGTCCGCAAACAAAATGATGATGGAGAACTTCCGCTTCATGTAGCTGCATCCGCTGGCCATATATCCGCAGTTTGTTGTTTGGTAGACACGGCTGAAGGTAATACGTTTAATGAAAAGGACGGGAGAGGGAACACTCATTGCATGTCGCTGTGGAAAATAATCACCAAGATGTGGCTATGTTTTTGGTCGGCAAAGATGGATCTACGGCGCATTCTACAAATAACTCCAGTAAGACTCCCTTGTGCATGGCCGCTGAAACTGCCAATCTTGAACTCGTTAAAGCAATGGTAGCCAACACGCCAAATAGCATAGTAGATGCTAATTCTGGTAATTTTTGGCAAGGATCGAACGGCAACTTAATTCTTCGTAGTGCGATCATATGGAGGAAAAAGGGTAAATATTAAGCATTTGCAGTTACCTTTTTTCTTTTTGGTATAGTCGTGAGTACCTTTTGTTTTTGGTACATATAGCTAGTAATGAGTATTCTTTTTAAATTTTGGCATGGGGTACATATATAGCAAAAGGTGGACTCAAGAAAATTAATGCAGTTTTCTTGTTGGCCATGCTCATGTTATGCACTCTTTTAAGCGTATAGTTTCTCAATGGTGGCTGCCCAGAACCAACAGAAAGAAGTATACAAGTATGGCTCTGTCCTTGCCATTTTCATGTCATCAGCATATAATATTGAAGTAGTCAATAATATTGCTTACTTTGTGGGAATGAGCAAAATTTTCCTACTCAATTGCACATACCATTGGAGCAGGAGCAACGTTTTATCTATGTGGCTCATCCAAATCATTTTCTTACACTGTTGGAGATGCTCTAACTCTTTGTCATATGGCATTATGACAATTTACCTTTCGTTTATTTCTTTATTCATAAATACTTATTCTTATTCTTGACAGAGTTGCTTCTAAAATGCATATGCTGTAGATCTCCTAGAGACGATATTGAGCAAAATGGATTCAGCTGATCTAATCAATTCAACGGACCAAAAGTGGATGACTCCTCTTACTCTTGCGGCCTATATAGGTAACTTTGTGGCGGTACGCGTATTGTTACACAAATTTACTGGATTGGCATACAAAGGTGACGAAAATCAGTTCCTTCTCATACATGTGGCGTCCAAAAAAGGCCATTGCAGGGTTGTAGAAGAGTTTCTCAATCATTGCCCCGACTTGAGGGAGTCATGTGATGGTGAAGGCCGGAATATTCTTCATGTTGCGGCCGCGCATGGAAGAGTTAATGTTGTCCGATATATTATTGGAAAGCGCAATCTTCAAGTGCTTAGGAAGCAAAGAGATCAAAGTGGAAATACCCCTCTACATATAGCCGTCCGAAACTGGCATCCTAAGATTGTCATAATTCTTTCCCTCTTCCATGCGTATGAGAGAGCCAATTTAAATAGTTTGAACAATGCAGGTATGACGGCATTGGACCTTGTAGAGAAGACCGAGGTAGATAAAGAGATGTTCCTTCGGAGAGTACGTAATTTCTCAACGCATCTTTTCAGTTACTTTCCTTTACCTACACAGTGTGACACTACAACTACCTACAAGTATGTCGTACATAGGAGAGAATTCTACAACGTAATTAATTAACCAGATGTATTTGTATCCCCTTCTTGCCCCTCTCATTGCACATGAGAGAGATAAAGAGGGGAGGATATCCCGATTACACACGATTTTTCCCTGCAGGAGCGAACCCTTATGGCCTTTATTTTAATAATCGTTCTCTTGTTTGTCATGTATATATGATCTACATATTGATAACAACTTGGTCAAGAACTGAAACTTTCGTTTTTCTTGCAGAAACTGACACTTATGGCCTTGAACTTGGCTAATGCTCCACGATCTGAAGAGCTAACAGCCGCCAAAGCAAAGCTAGTGATAGAGGATTCTGTTCTGAAGTCCTTGCACAATTCTGATAACTTAATGTTTTCGAAAGAGAGTGTCAATACTCTCCTATTGGTGTCAACGTTGGTGGTTGGTATAACGTTTGTTCAAGGCTTCACAATACCAGGTGGATACAGTAGCTCTGGAAATGATGTGGGCACCCCAATTTTTCTTACGCATAGCCTATTCAAATTTTTCTTGATATGCAATACCGTGGCGATGTGCGGCTCCATTACTGCTTCAATTCCCCTTATGTGGGCACAAACGCATGACCCTAATATAATCTATGCTGCCATGAGATTTACCTTAAAGGTGCTAGGCGTAACGCTTACCATGATGTCCTCGTCATTCCTGGCTGGTGTTGCACTGACAGTGTATCACGTTTTATGGCTTCGCATCTTTGTTTATGCCATGGGATTTTTCTTCACCGTCTTCATAGTAGGGCTCCTTGCTCCTCTCATGGATGTTCCAGTTTCCTACGTACCTGGCCCAACACGTGCCTTCTTATTCTTTAGCTTTTAGCTATTGATGTTTGTAAGCGGATATAATTTCGACGATGATTGGTCTAATAGATGGAGTTTGTAGAATTTCAATCAAAATTTGTGGTAAGTGTTGAAGATGGCACCAGTCGTTTATCCTGTATTACTGCCAACCTTTTCTTTTCTTGTAATAACTACATTTCTCTAGATAATACCTCTGCTTCCAACTTCCACTACATTTCATTAATTGCTCGGAATTTCTATCATGCAGCTCGACATTAGATTAATATTAATCAAAGTCTCAAATTTGGATTAATGTAATATTAAGATCATGAATAGAACTTCAATAAGTTTGCTTAGATGGTAAACTCCAAATCCTAATGAACCCTGTAACAGTTTCGAGAATATTTATTAGGTTTATTGATTGACCCTAAAACTGTCATTTGGTCTCACTTTATCCCTTGAAACAGGATTTGTCTTACTTTAACCCTTGAAACTGCCACAATCGAGCCATTTCACTCATTTACTTCCACGCTGGCAGCGATTTAGCAGTTTAGAGGTTTAGGGTAGTCTGGAAATTTCATATTTCGTCAACCACAATACCTCATCGCTACTAGCATGGTATGAAATACCCGGAATGCTCTTCCATTTAACGTCCGTGAGACAGAATTGATGAACATAAGGTGAAATAGCTCGATTTAGGCAGTTTTGGAGGACAAAGTGAGACTAAAAGACAATTTTAAGGGGCCAATCTATAAATAAACCTATTTATTATGTGATCTATAAATAAACCTATTTATTAATGATGTTTGATGAACTATTAGATGAAGTTTTTTGTACTTAATATTGTTGAAACCAAAGATCTCAAGCTACTTTCCTTATGTTTTGTAAACAGAAATTTATGTTTGCAGCTTATAAATGTAAGTTATATATCTCTTAAGTTCTGTTTGAAGTCTTGCTATTGAAAACAAATATGTATCTCTTAATTTTTCAGCTTATCAAAAAATTGTCACGTAGTGTTTTCATTTCTGTGAACACGGAAAATTCCTGAAACGAAAACGACAAGAACAACGTGCACAAACAAATATTTGTATTTTTGATGATTTTGGGTTACAATCTCTCTCTATTTTGATCTTTTGATTCGATCTCCGTAAGGTGTGTATTTGTGGATGTGTGATTGATCCAAAGGGCCGTTGGGCTTGATCTAAGGATGAACGTTCTTCAAGGGCCGTGGACTTGATCTTGAAGGTGGATTTGAGCGGATCTTCAAAGGGGCTTTTGGGCTTGATCTTTGAAGAACAGTGACGAACGGATCTTTAAGGGCTTTTGGGCTTGATCTTGAAGAACAGTGATGAACGGATCTTCAAGGGCTTTTGGGCTTAATCTTGAAGAACGGTTGAATGTGTGGATTTGTCGACGTTGTTGATCCAAAGGGCCGTTGGGGCTTGATCTTGGATGAGCGGATGATGAACGATGGTGCTTTCTTCAAGGGCCGTCGAGGCTTGATCTTGAATTGGTGGATGGTTGATCCAAGGGCCGTCGGGGCTTGATCTTGGAAGAACGATGAACGAAGAACGAAGAACACTTTCTTCAAGGGCCGTCGGGGCTTGATCTTGAATTGGTGGATGATTGTTGATCCAAAGGGCCGTTGGGGCTTGATCTTGGAAGAACGATGAACGAAGAACACTTTCTTCAAGGGCCGTCGGGGCTTGATCTTGAAGGTGGATGATTGTTGATCCAAGGGGCCGTCGGGGCTTGATCTTGGAAGAATGATGAATGAAGAACGAAGAACGAAGAACACTTTCTTCAAGGGCCGTCGGGGCTTGATCTTGAAGGTGGATTTGATGAAGAACGAAAAGGGCTTTCTTGATCCTTCGGGATTTGCTTGAGAGCTTCGGAGTTTCAGAGCTTCAGAGCTTCAAGGTGTAATATGAATTCCTCCAAATGAATGAATTAGCCTTCTATTTATAGAAATTTCCAAGGCCTAATTTTGAATATAATATTCCAGATGAAATAAGTCGTTTCTGCCAGGTGTTGACACGTGTCCTGTTTGATGACTTTTCCAACTTATTTCGATTTTTTGTTTAGACACACGCTACGTGTAAAATTTATGTAATACATGAGCGTTGAAACTTTGATTTATCGGTCAACATTTATTTACCGAAATTTCGATGTCTACAATTTCATTTAAATCATAACACATGTATCTGTGTTTTTTAATTAGCATATCATACTAAAACCAAAAGCTGACTTGACCTACCTTGATCGTAAAATAGAAGTGAAATATGAAAAAAAAAAAGGATCCATACCTGCACCAAATGATTCTCAATTCATGTCAAAACTTGATATACATTTTAGGGTTTTAGGGCTAACTACATTTCACACCCGTTTTGAAAATTACCTCAAACTTAAATGGTGTAAGATGTATTCTACATTAAAGAGGAACATTGTGTAAGTTTTTTACGAATAGTAACACCATGTGTCAGTGTTTTCATTTATTTTTTTGGGTACAAAGTAGAAACAAAATTATCTCATTGTTCTTGGACCAATTGGTTTCATGGCTTCATGTATTCTAGCCATGATTTATGAAGAAATAATTTAGTCGGAAACAAGCCCATCAATCATTTCCAGCCCATCGACGAAACCAGTTGCAGAGCTCTGCTCTTTGTGCTCTCTGCTCTCCCCCTTCTACTCGTTGCAAGCTCTCTCAATCAGCTTTCACCTTCAGGCTAAAAAGAAATTTGGAAGAGTAATGTTATTCTTACCACATTTATTTACCATCTTAGGTGGCAGATGAGTTGGACAAGTTACATCATTTAATTTCAATCTTTTTATTAATTAAAACACTTATCTTAGGTGTCAGAAGAAGACTCATCGTATACCACAATCATCATTTAATTAACAATCTTTTCATTAATTATTGATTAACATTTTGAAATTAAATGCTAATTAATTTAGATGATGTGGCTATCCACATCAGATGCCACCTAATGTTGTATACAATTGTGGTACAAAAATATGATAAGAATATCATTATTGAATTTGGAAACATCACTTTATGCTCAGTTTCTGTATACCAATGTATATATTGTAACCGAAAACAAAATTTCAGTTATTCATTTTAATCCTTGGCAAAGATGACTTTTAGTTTAAAACCATAAGTAAGATCAAAATCTAATTTTAGTCCCTTGACACATTAATAACCTCATTTATTAATTATATTTTGATCTTTTAATTATTTATCTTTTTCTTCCTAATTTTTAATGTATTAGTTTTATTTCATTATGATTTTCATTTTCATTTCATTTATCGTAATATATTTTGTTCTAAACATTTAAATAAATTAATTTTTATTATACAATATATTTCGATGTACTTTGTCTTCTTCATGTAGGTACATTAAATTCATTATAAAACATTTCCGTACATACATTTAGGTACACACATTTTTGTACACACATTTCGATACAAACATTTAGGTACATTAATTTAATATAATACATTTCGATGCATATATTTCGGTACACACATTTAGATACAATAATTTAATTAATACATTTCGGTACATACATTTCGGTATTAACATTTAAATACACTAGTTCAATATAATACATTTCGGTACTAACATTTAGGTACATTAATTGAGTTTGTCAAGTTTGAAGAATGTTAAATAAAATTAATAAATTAAAAAACTCTTTTTTGTTCAAAAAATAAATTAAAATTTGTATATTAGTAAATTTAAATATTTAATGGGAGACATTAAATAAAATGTACATTAATTATTTTGAATTAAGGACACATCAAGGGATTATAATAAATATGTAATCTAACACCAGGTTTATTTTAAATTTAAATCTTCTTAAATTAAAGTTAAAAAAAACCCATTTTTCTTTTTGGTGGTTAGAGGCGTCAAGTTAGGGTTTAGGGTTTACGGGTTAGTGGTGGGCTGGCTTCCTCCACACACAAAATAGCAAATAGTTCATGACACTAAAATGCAAAAGAACTTTTTAAGTGTGACTGTCGCATCTCAATGTTGTTACTAATCCTTGTATTATTATATAAATGAACAACGTGATTGTTAATACTACGTGACGGTGTTATAGCCACGCCGGAAAACTTCCCCAATCTAAAAAACTGTATCACAAGCACTCTCTGTGTTGGAACCCCCGGAATGAAATGAAGATGAAGCCCATTACTGTGATTTTTGGGGCTTCTATCTTCTGTTAAATCTGTCCTTGTCATTTCTGTGTATATCCTTGTAAGAAATTGGTACCCATCCATTATCCATCAGCTTTTGCTATCTGATGGACTTCTTGTTTTTCTTCTTGTCTTTCACATGTGTGTGTGTGTCCCATACTCTACCACTAGCCTTCGGCTCCTTAAATCTCTCTCTCACTGCTCATGTAACGGTATACGAAAATTTATATGATAAAGTTTAATATTGGGAGATCATTTCCAAACAATCTTTTTATGCATCTGGACGCTATTCTTTATTTTATATTTGTTGATTTTTTTTTCCGATCTATTCAATCAAAAAGCTAAATATAAACACAAGTGCGCAAAGAAAAGAAAAAGAAATAAGATTTGCAATTTTTATTTCCCTTAATATTTGATATTCGTTACATAAGATATCAGCAAGTTAGAATAACTTTAGAGGAATTCTTTCTTCTTCTTATTTTCAAAGGAAAGAGAGGGTAAATGGAGAACCTTTGATAACAAAAGATGGCAAAGAAAAGGACGGGTGAGGATGAAGTGAAGAGATTTCAAGAGAATATCATCCTTTAATTTTTAAAGTCACAATTACAGGTGCATTTTTGCTCATCATCATTATTTATCACCGTTAGATGAGTTTAATTTTTGAGATTTAAGTCTATCCAATAAAAGATCTTAAAATTTAAACTCATCCAATTGTGATACATAAGGTGGTAAGCATCATCATCACTTAAAGGTGGTGACCAAAAATATTTTGCACAATTATAGCTGGCTGGCTCTACAATAAGGGGATAGAAGCCCTTGATGCCCCACCCGATGAAAGGTGGATCAATAATTGGAGGGAGTCTCCTTGTTGCAATATCTTTTTCTGTTTTCTCCACAGCACATGTGAGGGGAACTAAGGTCATCTCCAATCGAAGGGTCTAGAGGGGTCAGAGGGCCAAAAATAGCCCGAAAACCGTCTCCAACTAAGGGCCAGGCCAAAGGGCTTGTGGGTCCCACTAGACAAAAAGGGGCCAAA